AAAAACAGGCTTGGTCCAGCTTGGGGGTAAGACACAATGTATTGGGTCTTTAAGGTAGGTTCTTGACAACACTAGTTTAAACTTCATACAATACTTTTTTTTCTTCTTTAATACTTGTTCTACAATAGTTAAGTTAACACGTTTTTCGTCTGGTAGCGGTCTTGTTCCCAGCTCGGCTCTCTGGCCGGGATTGTCCCCGTCCGCTTCCACCGAAGTGATATCGCACCGAAGTGATATCCCCAAAACGTTTTATCTGATCTTATATATTATAGGCGGATCGATGTCCAGCTTTGAATTCCGGGTACCACACCCACGCACCGTCACCTGATTGGTCAGTATTCGGTCTGGGGTGGGTTAATGCCCCGAACGGACAGCTAGTTGTTGACCAATCCGCTACGGATAGGTATTATATTTCAGATTACAATATGGGCGGAGGTTGCAGCTGGTCATTATATTATATCTTGCAATTACATAGCTCTGTCAGGGGTAACCCACCACTAGAAATGTCTGCCAGAGTGTTTTTGTAATATCTGAAGATGTACGGTATACTGCTGTACGATTTTCATGTGGTACACTTTTGAGCTAATCTAGCCTAGTTGGGGGGCATTGCATTTTGGGCGTGGAATACCACACCCACCACTAGAACCCCGACAGACTTACATTCTTATGATACCAGATATACATGCATTGATACCATATACATATAGCAGAAAATTGGTACACTTTTCAGCTAGGTTGACCCACTGGGCTCCTGGTCTAATACGTTATCATAAAGAAACGAAAGGCATCCCCATGTTACTATAATTAGAATAAAGGCTCACGAACGTCAACAAGCGAACGTGTGAAAACATACAAAAACAAGAAGAATGTCCCAGGCCATTTCAATATTACATAATATAAAAAAAAATGGGGGGAGGGGGACCTAGGGGGTTTTGACCGTATCCCTGAAATAATACCCAGGCAGGATGGATTAGCGGCCATCTTGATTCTTGTTTCATGATATAACTTTTATAAAATAACTTTTTTCACTTTTATGTTAGTTGAAATGTAATCTAAATTCTGTAAAAAAAAACAACCTTTAAACAAATAAACATATTTTCCCCATACACTCCGTTCTATCTTTGTGTAATATTATTTCACTGATTCAGTCACAGTTAATAAATGATAGAACTAGAATCAATCTTTGGAAGTTGTTTCTATAGTTTCATTATAATTGAGAATTTACCAAGGACTCCATTGAAGAAAAACTGGTAAAAATTTCATTTTATTTTTATATTTGTGTGTCCAGTGTCCTACAATTATTAGTGTATGTGAAATTACAATCCCACGTAAAGTATTTATAAGGTACTTAAATCCAATAGTCAAATGGTGTTTAACATCCACTTGCCACAAACTAGGCCATTACATGTATTTGTATTGGCTGAATCAAGTAGTCCACGTTGTGTATGCTATGCAGACCTGTAGCTAGCCCTAAAATGTTGGGTTAGGCAAGGGCTTCGGGGTGCCGATGAGGCTTCTGGGGGAAGCAAGGTACCTACACTTGACGGTCCAGGGTTTGCACCAAAGGGGAAATTTCAATTTTGAAGCTGAATTTGCGATATTGGCGTATTATGATATTTGATATGAACATTATAAAAAATTGAAGGAAGGAATACGACTTTAGCGTACCTATAATAATTTATGAGAAAAACGAAAAGTTCGAAATCGGGTTAGAGTGCGACTTGTTTGAATTTTGAAGATATCACGCCTGGCGCGGGCTTGATTCAAATTCTTCCCCATCGTGAATTTGACCTGGAAAATTTCTTACAATCTCCCGTTGCCTTTTTTTATGGTAGACTTCTTCGGGCGGCGGTGTGCGTGGGTTTCTTGGTTGGGCGTCCATGATCTCGTCGTGGGCGGCCTACTACGAAAGCCCAGAAGGCTCATTCCAAATTCCAAATTCCAGATTCCAAATTCCAAATTACAAATTCCAAATTTGCTGCTGTAGCAAAAAAAAAAAAAAAAAAAAAAAAATGCCAGTCCTAGGATACCGAGTAGCAGAGTAGCTCACTGCAGAGGAACTTTGCCACAAACGTTTCAGGGGATCACGTGGCTAAGTGGGTAAGACGCTAGTCAGGAGGTCGGGTGTTCGATCCCTGCATTGGCCGAGAAAGTTCATCCAGATTTTCCGGCGTGGTTCCCCCTTGTCAGTGATGCAGGACGGAGGGCCTGACAAGGACAGGTGTCTAGTCCTTCGGATGAGACGAAAAACCGAGGTCCCGTGTATACATTGGAATGCACGTAAAAGATCCCTTGGCAGTTGGAATTCGATATAAAAGTAGTGATTTTGCCGCTGCCCGGGCAAAATTTCCCTCATAGCACACTGTATGGCGTATGCCCGTCTTCATTAGCCCAGTATAGGAGCAGAACAGTAGGACGTTAAACCCCATTTCATTTCATTTCCAAACTTTTCACATCTGCGAAGCAAACCGGAACTGGAATATTATTATACTCTAACTGATTAGTCAAAAGCAAAAACCTGATCCGATTGGTCGGATCAGATTTGGAATTTGGAATTTGGAATTAAGCATTTGGAATTTGGAATCTGGAATTTGGAATCTAGTAATTTGGAACGGGTATTTATCCGGCCCAGATAGGTAAACTAGAAGTAATTAGTTGTGTAAATTTTAATTACAATTTATACAAATTCTAATTTGTTTAATTGAGGGGGACTGCCAATTTGCTATTTTATCGGTAAGACATGAATTTGGAATTTGGAATTTCGCATTTGGAATTTGGAATTTCGCATTTGGAATTTGGAATTTCGCAAATGGAATTTGGAATTTGGAATGAGCCTTCTGGGCTTTCGTAGCCTACCGCTAGCTACGGGCCTGCCAAGCCCTACATGTATACCGGTAATCAACTGGGACGAGTAGCCTTCTTCCATTTGCACCTTCTTTCCGTGTACTGCCTCATTCAACGTGTATTAAAGTTTGGCATGTGTTGTGTAATATTAATTCTGCATAAACCTGGAGTTGTTGTAGAATGGGTCCTTATCTACTTACTAGCGCTATGTCATTCCGAGGCTAACATGATTCAGTTTAATATGTATAATTCGCTTTTAAAATCGAAACCATGCCACTTGACTCAATGACAGACCCTGTGATTTCATGTGCATGTGTTTAACATCTAGACCCCCCTCCCCCTCCACCCAAACCCATATCGAATAAATGTATGGCTTATTTCAAATATATTTGCATATACAGAAAGTAGAGACTTCAATCTTACTAATAAAATACTGAATTCCCAGAAATGAAATGAATTAACATCCTACTGGGCTAATAAAGACGGGCCCATACGTCATGCAGGGTGCTAAGTGAAAATTTTTGCCTGGGCAGCGGAACTATGGCCTACTTTTATATCGAATTCCAACTTGCAGTAAAACTTTAAGGTGTACGAAAATGTGTACACGGGACCTGGCTTTTTGTTCCATCCGAACGACTAGGCAATTGTCCTTGTCAGCCCCTCCGTCATGCACTACTGACACGGGGAAAACACGCTGCAAAATCCTGAAAAGCTTTTTTGGTCAAAACCAAGAGGGAACCCGCGACCTCCAGGCTAGCGTGCCAGCGCCTTATAATTACTCCACGGCTCTCTTCTAATTATTACAACAGTCAAATCGCATGACAAAAAAGGGTTATTAAAATAGATTTTTACGGCTAAGGTAGTTCATTGGGATTAAAATGTTTATAGAGGATTTGAAACAAACTTTTGATACATGTAGATTCCTCATGGGTTGTTTCCAGGTTCTCCAGTTTCCTTACAATGCTAAAGGTGTACCGCATATTTGTTTCTCACCTTCCTAACTGACCCATGGGCAAGCTCTCTCTCTCCCTCTCTGGATGGCGTGATTAGTTTAAACAATATTTTATTCAATAAACTGAATTGGATTGAACAACAGGCAAGGCCTATATAAGTTCTCTCCAAACATATAAAATAGTTAAATCTTATGTTTACAATACAGTGGTGACATATGTACAGACAGTGAGTAACAAACATATATACATTTTGAAGTGTAATTTTAAGTTTTAAATGTTAAAGTTTTAAAATCTCTTGCTGTCTTTTATGTATTTTTGCACTATTTTCAAATATGTTGGAATTGGTGTTATCTGAAAGAGAGGAGTTGCCATATAGGATTAGGTCAATTGTAACATTTTGATTAAGGTGGTGTAGATTATTTTTTAGAATTTTTCTTGGGGCAGAGTAGGCTGGACATATGAAAAAATAATGGTAATTATCTTCGTCTGCAGAATTACACCTAGGGCACATCTTTGTGTCACTCTAATAAAATGGTAGAATAAGTGATTATTTAAGTTACTAGCTTTATTTCTTAATTGGCAATGGATAATATTCTCTTTCCTATTTCCAGTATTATAATATAGTAGTGGTCTAATTAAAGGATACACGCGTGAAAGGCCCAATTTGAATGTACTCAACGTTTGTGAAGTTTTAATATTTTCAGTTAGTTGTTCCAAAGTTTAATTGTGCAAGGAAAGAAACTATTAGAATATGAACTCGTTTTACAAAATGGTAGATTGAGGTTCAGATTGAGATTAGATCAAGATAAGCGCGTAATGAAACGCAGAGGAAGCCTTATACTAACTTAATAACTACTTCCATGAATTAGCTTCCACTGTACCCCATCACAAATATTTTATGTTGGTGCCCCGAGCTTAGAATGTCTAAACAGTGCGGAAAAATAAACAAAAAGGTGTATGTATAAATATATTTATATTTTATATACATATATATAATTGTTCAACAATACTTAATAATCAGAATATATATTAAATATATATTTTTTCAATTATACAACATATTTCCACGAAATCTTAAAATATATGTTTCTATATAATACTATACAAAATATTGCAACACTACAGTGATCGGAATATATATCATATTATTAAAATAAACGTAAAATATGATATTATACAAAATATTTCAAGGAAACACAAAATATTTCACGGAAATACAAAATATTTCAAGGAAATACAAAATATTTCAAGGAAATACAAAATATTTCAGTAATAAAGCAATACTCGAAATATACATTATTGAACATGAATAGTGATGACAACCACTGTTCATATAATTAATGATGGTTTGGCAATCTTTATCAGTAACAGTTTTTACTGTTACGTTTTCTGAACAGTTACAACTGCTCGGAGCTGTTGGTGATTTTGTCATAGTTGTCGGTTCTGGTTCTGGAGCAGTAGACGCAGTAGGCGCAGTAGGCACAGTAGCAATTCTCATAGACTTGAAGGATTTAGAAGCGGGTGTACTTTTTCTGGACAAATTACCGGAAGAATAATCTATGCTAAACAGTCCATTTGTGTCATTGTATCCATTTTCCCATGTAAAACCATCCATCAATGGCGAATACGTGTAACCCACAACAGTACTACAACCGTCCAATTTAATAGCTGAAATACACACAATAAAGAATTAAACCCATGTTACTAAGATCTCGGTTTATTTTGTTTGTTTCTTTTTAAGTTGGTTGTAAATGCGTGCTGATAAATAAGCTTTAATAAAAGACTGTTCCCAAAATTATGCAAATCCATTTGAAAATGTAATAGGTTTGTCCTTCGCCACCCAATCGTATTATGCAACACATGCATGTCTTTTACGTCAGCTAGATGTTTTAGATAAATGTGCCCAAATTCTACTTTAAATTATCAAAATACTGATAATATGGGGAAAGTCCAACCTGGCGATGCCTCGCGTCATAAAAGCTGCTTAGTGGAACGTAACCTCGAATCTAGCAGTACCGCATATTCCTGAAGCAACGACTGCCAATTTTACAACATCTGGGCGTTGCTAGATTGCTTTACAATTCCCGAACTACGTTATCTCCAGTGCACACGCGTAAAAGTAGCGTCCAATCAGAGGTTGTGGCACATACACGCCCAAATCAAACATAGCGACCTCCACGGAAACCTTAACATTGAACGAACCTTGAGCTCGATTATCACAGGTAGACAATTTATCTGGAAAGCGCCAGACTTGCTATTCGCGATGATCGATGAATATGATAGGCTCTCCAGCTGGGTGAATATCCGATCGAAATTAGTGCCGAAATATCCAGGATATTACGTAAAGGCATTGATAAGATGTACGGACTTAAAGCGAGATCAAGCCTTCTATTGAAGATGCCAGTACCGTAAATAAATTACCTTTCAAGATTTCGTTTGTGTACTCTTTGATATACGTTGTCCTGTCTATGTTATTTTTCTCAGCTGTTTTATCCGATATACCATTGCCGGATATGAATATATGGATGTTTCCATATCTTTTGGTTATCGTTCTTAACATCATTCGTATTCCACGAGGATATACCATTAACCAATCTGAACCTGGGCTGCAAAATGAAAAAAAATAATACAGTAGTAAAATAAGAGCACTACAAAAAGGCAGGTCGTGTAATTTCTCAAACATCTGAGAACTAACCTCCGATTTTATTGCAAAGAGAGAATATTATGTGCTTCTCATTTGATGTTTGAAGTACCTTTAGTATCCCTGACAGAATACAATAATCAACATTTCGCTAAGCTACGAATTGTAATATTACCTTGCCCAAGTACCATTATCATTCAGAGAACAGCCATGTTCGTTGATACTTCATTTTTGACCACCACCGCCCAATTTATCTCAGTGGTTTCTATCAATGTTGTTCTAAAGATCGAACCATACGAAATAGTATATGTTTACTTTGCGAAATATGTCTCGAATTAAACCACGTGACCACCAGCAGAAAAAAACCCACAGATTAATAAAAACTGGCGACAGTAAATGAAGATAAGAATACTACACATTATCTATTTCAATAATGTATTAAGCGTCGAGATTTCGTCCACACTAACAAACCGTGTTCAAACATAACTTTGTGTGGATGGGGGGGGGGGGGCTAACTGTAAGTGTAAGGGTACAACACATTCTCTTTGCTCAAGTTAGCACACGTATCGACATGAACTGTGATAACGTTTTAGCTTAAATGTATTCCTCGCTATATATCTAAACACATTAATGTGTTATCTTTCATTTTAAATTTCCTTGGCCAGTTCGGGTCTCGCAGGTAGATATAATCGACCAATCTGTTTCACAGAGGATTACGAAAGTCTTCTAATATCTCTGTAAAAGATGACTACCTTTAACACGCGACGTATCGTCACGCGGCGTCAATCATTGACTCAATGGCGCGTGCATTGTTTACATATGACGTTCTACTTGGGGCAGAATGGAGACTTTTACTCATTTTAATACCCATTTGCACTAAATAGGAAATAATTTTTACCTACAAATACGTCTAACGCCTTTATTTATTTTTCTAATACATAAAAAAAATGTTTTAGAATTTAACTTGTCGAAGGAAAAAAAGTTAATATTTGTGGCGCATTAAGTCGCATCAATGTCATCCTTATCAGTGATTGTAGCGGCCTAGCGAAAATTCACTGCTGATCAGTGTGATAATCGACCTGAGAAATGTTTTGAAATTTTGGCGCAGTAACGATGAAAACTGAGGTTTTATGGCCGGTTACCATTTCAAATAGAGATTAGAATTCAACCAGAAAAAAACAATCCAGATTCCATTTAAAAGAGTACCGTTGAATCATCTCGGCCCAGAAGGTTTTAAATACTGTGAATTACATTTTAAAAACCACCGTGGAAAAATGTAATGGCAGTAAGTCAATTGCTATCCGCGAATCTTATAAATTTTAAAGGGAGCCACGGTGGCTAGGTGGTTAAGACGCTGGCTCGCTAGCCGGGATGTCGCGTCTTCGATCCCTGGATTGGCAGAGAAAGTTCATAGGGATTTTCCGACGTGGTTTCCCCTTGTCAGTGGTGCAGAACGGAGGGCCTGACAAGGACAGCTGTCTAATCCTTCGGATGATACGAAAAAGCGAGGTCCCGTGTATATATTGTAATTCACGTAAAAGATCCCCTGGCAGTTGGAATTCGATATAAGAGTAGGCGATAGTGCCGCTGCCCGGGCAAAATTTCCCTCATAGCACACTGTATGGCGTATGCCCGTCTTCATTAGCCCAGTATAGGAGCAAAACAGTAGGACGTTAAACCCCATTTCATTTCATTTATAAATCTAATATCGCGTTCACTGGCTAAATTTCGTTTATTTTGATTCGGTCGATGGCACCAATCCAATAAATAATTGAAGAATCTCGCTCAGATTCAGACATGCGAAGTTTCATTAAAACTTGACGATACACATAGACTCTACTGTACTAACAACCTCTTATTAACATATCTGACAGGTCAATGGTAATAAATTAACTAATAAATTTTAAAGTTTCGAATACAAGACAACAACCAAATTGCAATAGAAGCAGATACAAATGAAACTCCTAATCTTTAATAACAAAACAAAAGCTTTGAAATAGGGAAACCGATAATCGCAAGTGGGAATAGCGGTCGCTTTTTATAATATACTTATAAGTTATATCTAACGACATGTGTGGGTTTGTATTAAAACAAAACGGATGTATTGAAAGTTGAATTTAGATTTACTTTCACTCAACATAATAAAATTTCCGTAATTTTGGGGTATTTTTTTGGACAAGATATTTTGCTCGATGGTTGCGTTATGTTTTGGGAACTTGTTATGTGAGTGTAGAAATCAAAAGAAATTTTAATATGTTGAATGAGATATAGATATTTAATATAATATAGAGATCGACCGGGTTGTAGTGTTAAAGAACGTGCATATTTATCTTGTGATGATGAATGGTATACAGGTTATATGATTGTCTTATACAAAATATATTACCTTGGCCAATCGTTGTTGAAGCTAAGTGTGACATCTTTGTCACCATAAAATGATGGAGGGATAGATCGGGGAAATTTACTTTCGCTCACCAGATATGTTGTGTAATGACTTACACCAAGAAAGTCAGCTGAGCCTGAAAATAGACTTGATATGTTAAAACATTGAAATCAATGCCACCCAAAGAAACAAGAGAAGACTTATCACTTAAAGGAGCTAAATCGCTAATATTTTGGACCTAGAAATTGGCACAAATGGGTCGCAACACATATAATAATGTAATATGAATTTATATAAACTGTTTTACATTCAATCGTGTCCGTTTTACTGTGAACTGCCATCAGTTATTTTCGGCGAAATACGCCAGAAATCTCAACCGCAAGTCAGTTTCTAGCGCCTGGTTATTCCAGTCAACACCGATATTATTTATTGTGCATGCTCTCCAAATAAGAACATGATATCACTGTTTGACATGATTTGTGAAATATGTCTAGCCTCATTCTTTGAGCACCTTGTTACAAATGGCGATGAAATGCATTATGGTACACGATTGGTGTACCAATGGTAAAATGTTTTTATTTGTCTAAAATATTGGATATCAGAAGCCCATCTTTTCCAGGTAAGATCACAACACCAATGCTGATTTAAATTGCAAAAAAAAAAAAAATGTGTTTTCAATGTCGAAGATTTTAGATGATATTGAGTTACGGACTTAGCTACTTTAAACATACATTATGCAAGAGCTAAATCTGCCTATTGTAAGTCTTTCTTTAGGCCTGAAATTTTATATAAACTATTAATTAGACATTAATTAACGTATCCAGACCATATTCAACTCTCGATGTCAACGCTAGGCTGCGATAATTGTTGGATTATGATCCGATTTGCTGCATAACTTTCCTTCTCGATTTAACGATTAATCGAGACTATTATTTTTGTCGTACCGACTTTAGTAATGACGACCGAGGCTATGCGGAACTTTCGATCGCTTATTTCTTGGTTTATAGTGGATCAATTTGATTGAAATTTTTAGCAAATTGCCTTTACATTATCTAGTTTTTAACTATTATAGTGAGAACTGCCAACTCGTTATCTAATCTCCTATAATGTATCTTTAATGTGAAAAAAGAAATTCACCTGTCTTGAAATCAATGTGACCCAGAGGGAGAGAGGGAGAGAGGGAGAGAGAGAGGTTTAACGTCCACTCGATACAAATTAGGTCATTTCTGGACTAACACATGGTTCAATTTTATTTCAGAAATTCGCTTGCGCGTAGGGGTCTTTAGCAGTGGGAGGAAACCGGAGGACCCGGAGAAAACCCATAAGGTTGGGCATGCGACCCTACCCCTTGTCACGTACAACCGGGGATTCGAAGCCACGCCAGTTGACTCAATGACAGGCTTTATGATACATCACGCACGTGCTAACCATTCGCCCCCCGCCCCCGCCCCCGAACCCAAAGAGACAAGAGAATACATTCAAATGATGTTGAACAAGAAATTAACGCGTCTTGAAATCAAGTCGTATATTGAAATCAGTGCTTCCTCACTTACATTACTCTTATGTATGTAGTCAGCTTGCTATTTGATCATAATAAGACACTGTTTACCAGATAATGAGATCATTGTGTTACCATGCTATGTCTTTATAGCCTCTTATAATTAATCGTCGTTAATTGCTGTGTTGTTTTGAGAGGGTGTTACTTTTAACAATATTAAAACCTTATTGATGTCATATTTTGCCGCTAATCCAGAGTTAATCCGTGAACAATGGTGTTATAAACTAAGTCTATTTCTCACTTAAATCAGAAAACTGCATTTATTGTAACAAATATAGCTTTTATTAAATAACATTAAAAAATTTACACACAAAAAATGCGTTAGATATGCAGGATAAATTACAATAATTTACACATTATAGCATTCTACAGCCCAACTAAATAGGATATGTTTTGTTCCATACTGATTAACACTTAAAAGTCCCAAATGTTAAAATTGTTACAAACATTACGGCCATTGTTATCGACCCACTGTTCCGTTACATAATCATAAAACCTTTCTATTTGTGGAATGTTTAAGTTTACAGCCAGGGCAGTAACTAGCTCAGAGCAACAAGGGGACGGGAAGTGTTCTCATGGTTGCTATAAAATTGACGGACAAGGTATATCTATTTTTTTATGGTCGAAAATTTTTTCGCAAGGGGGTGCGAAACTTTTACGGGCCTGTCAACAGCTTCTAGAAATGAAATGAAATGGAGTTTAACGTCCTACGGTTCTGCTCCGAACTTGGCAAATGAAGACGGGCAACAGCTTCTAGAGCAAAGTACCAAAAAAATCAAGCTCATTGACGCTGATCAGTCCTAACGATACCTGAGTGACAAGTTTCAAAAAGAATAATTATAGATATACATGTCATTAACAGATTAGCAGTCTGCCGGCATTCCGGGAACAAGTCATATTATTCACTTACAGGGGGCCACGGCGACTCAGTGTAAAGTCTCTGGCTCGCTAACCAGGTCTTGGTTTCGCTTCCGGTGTTGGCCTCGGTTTTTCGTCACATCCTAACAACTAAACACTGTTCTAGCCTGGCCCTCCGACCTACACCAATGACAAGGACAAACCGCACCGACCCCCCCCCCCCCCCCCCGAGGAACTTTCTCGGGCAGTCAGCGATTCAGCGTCATGCTTACTCAGCCACCGCACCCCCACACCTCCCACAGTGTGTAACTTTAAATATATGTTATGTAAATGCAGTTTCACGTACCTTTATTCAGCTCCTTTTCTCTTTGTGTAAATGTTGGCAACCTCGACCCGGTTATTCGGTTTTTCATCTCAACCGGATAATCGCCAGTTTTAAATATGGGATCACCAACCCAACCATAATCAAACTCAATATTTCTTAGGACGGCATCATTATCAGCGGGATTTCTCGAATCTTTGGGAATATACCAATCTCTTCGCAAAGATATTCCTACACGACCTATATAAAACAGTTCTTGTTAGTCTCGTTGTTTTTGTCTAAATGAAGATAGAGTGATAGTAGTGATTGATATTGTTTCAGTAAACTAATAGACTGGCCCGAAACTTACCACATGATTATTGATCGACCAAATTCACCAGTTGGTAACCCTTTACTCATCAAGCTTAAAATATTGGACTATAGAAGTAACTATTACGTAATGGACGATATAAGTGAGTATAGTGTAATGGACGATACACGTAATTATAGGGTAATGGACGATATAAGCGAGTATCAAGTAATGGACTATAGAAGTAATTATAGGGTGATGGAATATATATAAATCAGTATAAGGTAATGGACGACAGAAGTAACTTTAAGGTAATGGTCTATAGAAGTAAATATAGTGTAATGGACTTTAGAAGTCAGAATAATGTAATGGGCGATAGAAGTAATTAGAGGCTAATGGACAATAAAAGTAACTATAAGCTAATGATATCAATATAAGGTAATTGACTATAGTAAGGAAATGGGTGATATAAATAAGTATAGGGTAATGGACGATACAAGTCAGTGGAAGTAACTATAATGTTGGGGATGCAGAAATAGCACAATCTATGCTACAAGTAATTCTATTTACGCTAGAGATATGAATTTATCCTATCGATTAAATTTACCGGAATTGTTTTGGTCTGAAGTTATAGGCAAGAATAAACTATTCATATTTACCGTTTTGTTTACGTTTGAATTCCGTATGATACATATGATAAACACGTGCGTGTGCTTTTATCATGTTGTGTACAGCCAAATACATGTCACCGGTTCTTTTTTGTTCGCCACCTGGAGGTAACTCTTCTGATTCGTAAGCCCAAAACGCTGATTGTTCTGGTTCATTCATAGTTACCCAATTTTTCACCTAAAACAATAAAATATAGTATTAAATCGTTTTCTATACATATTACCACTAATGCCGCCATATGCCTGCCATGCATCCGGCTAATAAACATTAATTTATCCATTTTTAATAATGACACAGAGAAGTGGGGATTAACGGACACTCGGCACAAACTAGGTCATTTGGGGATATGGTTCATTTTTATATGAATAATTCTCTTGCGCGTAGGGGTCTTTAACAGTGGGACTCCGGAGCGGCTCGGGAAAAACCACGAGGTTGAAAAAGCGATTATACTTTTTGTCATGTACACGCGGAGAATCGAATCCACGCCATTTGACTCAATTCTAATCTAACGCGGACGCGTTAAAAATTCGACCACACAACCACCCTTTAAGTTAATGTCTCCTTCATCTATTTTCTACGATGAAAATGTAGTAGTATCTATTGATGAAATATCTAAAACGCCCCTTTAGATTTAGTCAGCAATTTAATACCTTGATGAAATGAATAAACCATTAAGCTATATAAAAAAAACTCTCTAGTATTGTTAGTATAACATAGAAAAGCGTACAACAAAAAATAACTTACCACGTCCCCAAAATTCTGGAAGCAAATTCTGGCATAATCCACGAATTTATCAATTGTGGTCTCGTTCAGCCATCCACCATATTGTTCTTCTAGAACATTTGGTAAATCCCAACTGAATAAGGAGACCGTGGGGATTATCTTGTTCGCCATTAGTTTGTCGAAGATGTCTTTATAATAATCTATACCTTTTTGATTTACAACATCTGCCTTACCCATTGGTAAAATCCTGGACCATGATATGGATTGAAAGTAGAATGAAGCCTGTTTGTGAAAATATTGAACGAAATTTGTATACCATAGTTTAGAAAGCAATGTTTAACAATTGTGACAACAAATGTTCAAAATAGAATTCAAAATAATAAAAATACAAAAGGATATATAGCATTCGTTTTCTGGTAATTAAAGAATACATGTTCTTTGATTGGAAATAATACAAGTCAATAACATCTGAGGTGGTGAAGATATGCCAATTCTGTATGCTTATTTCTGAATATATATTTTAGATTGATGGAAACCGTGTTAAAAATCGATGGTCTTCTCCTTAAAAACGTGCTCGGTTGTCAGTTCAGAACGTTCCGAACTAAAGGGAATGTAACTGAATGAGGCGGAATTAAGTATTTTGTTTTTACAGTTCTGCTAGTTCCGATCAGAGGATCGTTAACTAATTTAACGTTTCAGCTTTGGCGATTGGTCGAGATATTATTATACTCAATCAAACGATCTGAAATTGAATTCTCTTAATCCCCTCGAAAAAACATGCAAATTTCTGGCGACAAGGCATGCGCTAACTGAATATGATACAATTTCCACAAATCACCCTAGCTAAAACGTTTAAATACGTCACATTTATGCTGGCACCAAACCTGGTAGTCGGTGCTCGGTTTTCAGTCAAGAACATTCCGAATCGAAGGAATTCCATTCGAGTTACTCGAACTTCAGTTCTTTAACAGTTCTGTCAGTACCCAGAGCAGAACCGTCACGTAAACAAATTATACTCCAGTAATCGCGTGCACATATTAGATTACTTGTATTTTACACGAAATCAAGCAAAGGTTAGCAAAATGGTTACCAATATAAGATTGACCGATTCTGAAATCGCTCAAAATATTATTACGTTTTACATCGTTCTACATAGAAGGTCTTCAATATCTACATATATAAAAAAATCCGAACATCGTAGCCACATAAGTGTTCTTACCGATATCTGTTTTAATGCCGCAATGTCTTCCGTGTATCTATGGTAACTGTCAGCAGCGACATCTCCGTTAGAAGTGTTACGGAAGAAAGCATCTAAAACACTTTCCCCCTTTCCTGAAATAGCAGAAACCGTATGAAACTGTTCCGATGCACAATAAGTACTGATCGATTAAAGCGGGGATAAAATGCTGCGCACACTAACGTGCATTTGTCACCGACGGTCCGAATTTTCATCCCCGTAAAGCTGTCGGGTGAAACATTTACCATACCCGGGATATTCGTCACCGATTTTTATCGTCTGGTAAAATATTATGCACGCACACTACTTGGCGACGCCCGCCAACACGTGTTGACAGCATAGAAAGTAGTGTCAGACGCCCACCCTCAAGTGTTGTCAGCATAAAAAGTTGTGTCAGACATCCGCCAAGAAGTGTTGTCAGCATAGAAAGTAGTGTCAGACGCCCACCTTCAAGTGCTGTCAGCATGAAAGTAGTGTCAGACGCCCACCTTCAAGTGTTGTCAGCATAGAATGTAGTTTCACACGCCCACTAACAAGTGTTGTCAGCTGGAATGTAGTGTCAGACGCCCACAAACAAATGTTATCAGCATAGAAAGTAGTTAGAGAGTGTTGCCTTACCATCAGCTTTCCATCCACCTTCAATCTGATATGCTGTTGTAGCAGCACCCCACATGAAATTCTCTGGGAAATCTTCTTCTAAATATTCCTCTTCGTAGGGTATCTCCATGGTAGCTTTTGGATCTGTCTTAGAACCATTAATAAACCCGTTATCTCTGACAATTTCGCGAATCAAAGCAGCCGATGCTTTAGGTTTTCTTATTCGCTGGGGATCAGAGAAATTCACTTGATAAATCCCAAAATATTCAGTATATCCACTTTGCCATTCAAAGTTATCCATGACAGACCACGCGGTATAGCCAATAACTTTAACCCCATCCAGTTTCACGGCTGAAATACAAGTTTTGATAAATAAATAAACGTTAACTCAAACCAAACAATGGCATTTCGGGTGTTAGACCACTCGGTCACACCACCCGCTTTAATTTCTAGCCGAACTTCTGAATAATCTCCCCGTTGGATATTGAAGTTTGCGAGTTTGTTTATTATCTGAGTTAGTTGGTTACAAAATGACTGTAAAAGAAAAACACCCATGGCTCATGGAACTGGGTGTTGAATTTAAATTGCGCCCATTGAAGCCACTAACCCTTCAAATTTGAAATTCTAAATAAGAGTAGGCCGCAGTGCCGCTGTACGGGCAAAATATCCCTCACTGAACACTGTATGGCACATGCGTCTTCATTAGTTTAGTCACTGCACAAAAGTAGGGCGTTAAAACCCCATTTCATTTCATTTCAAGCCGCCCAAAACTCAATGGTTATGCTTCACATATTTTCATTGTTATGGATAAGATGGTTATCATGTCCATACTATTGATTGACTGGTTAACCACCCTAAGATATTTTTTAGAACAGGAATTTTTAGTCCCATCAATATGAATAAAATACAGATCTATATTTCGTTTCGTTTTTTATACTTTCGATGGCCTACACTACATGTAGTGGAAGGTCGCGTCAGCGGTCATACAAGCGGCTTTTGACCCTATGACGTTAGACATTGATTACTCGACGAACGTTGACGTTTCTAGTGGTTTACCCACAGTTCCGTGCACCATACGCCAAGAACTCGCCGTAACAGATCGTTTCATTGACTAATCCCTCACTTCAAACAGAACCCGGGTTATATAGCAACTCTTCAAGTTCCTAGTAAAACGAAATTTGGAACTATAAAACGAAATAGGATCTGTGTTTTAATCAGATTATAGACCCATCAACACATCATTAATAATAATCAATTGGTTTTGTAATTAATAAAGAAGGCGGTATGCGCGAAGATTCTCTGATTAAAGATTAAATAAACTGTCATCTCTTAAAATATTCTTAAAGAAGTGGAAAATATTTAGAACGTTCCGCGCCCTTACCTTTTAGAACCTCGTTGATATAATGAGTGTAAAAATACACTCGACTGACATCATCTAAAGTCTGGTTATTATCAGAGACCCCATTTTCTGTGATGAATATTTCTCGGTCTCCGTAATGATTTTTCACCCAATTTAGAATTTTCCTGATTCCCCATGGTACAACTTTCAACCAAGATGAACCAGAACTGAAATAAAGGTCTGTTTTAGTAATACAAAGAAACTTTTGTGAACAGAAATTAACTATGCTCAATAGTCACGTGAAATTAAAATAAACATTATTGCGAGCTGTTATAAAACATTATACTCAACAGTCATTTGAATTAAGTCTTGTCTAGATTACAGGAGATGGGGTGGCTTACTCCTTGCCATGTACCTGGTAACTCGGTGACACAACCCCACTTTAACCACCCCTAACCCACAACATGAATAGGACACATTAGAAACTACACACGCGCTCAATAATCACCACAGTTTGTAGACGAGGGTTAAATGTGATAAATAGTTTTATAAAACGTCCGCTCCATATTGAAGTGATATCGCAGACGCAGCCACGTGAATTGTATATAGTCTTACCCAGGCCAGGCCGGATCAGAATCCACCCAAGCTCCACGATCTGTCCAATAACTACCATTTTGCTTTGCTATAACTTCTGGATCGTCGTTAACAACCCTGTTTGTTGTATAATGGTTCATGCCAAAAAAATCAGATGTACCTAGAACATAGATAAAGATTTAAAGTAGTAAAGCCTCTTGAATTTGCTTGATATTTTAAGTGCTGTTTAGATGTATAGCAAAGCAGTCACCATGCGATTAAAAATTTGAAAGATTAAGCTGACGTTTGCTATTGCAGAGGGGTTGGATAGCCGAATGAGTAGCACATGCGCGTCGTATCAGAAGGTCTGTCATTGAGTCAACTGACGTGGTTTCGATTCCCAGGTTGTGCGTGAGAAGGAGTATGGTCGCCTATCCAAGCTCGTGGGTTTTCTCCGGGTCCCCCGGTTTCCTCTCACTATTAAAGACCCATACCTGCAAGCGAATTATCGTGTCATGTCATAGATTATGAATCTTCTTCATAGGTCGCCTGGTACAGAAAAGTACGATGTTAAGCCCCGCTTGATTTCATTCTAATATCCAGACTAGACGAGTCGTTCGAAAGAAAATAAAGGATCCATGCAGTATGGAATCTTGAGACACAATGTATCCAACACAACTTCAATCCACACTTTACTTCTAATGGGAAGCACTTCGTTTTCACGAATGACATAATATTACGTAACAAACGTTGTACATTTATTTTATTGAGAATTTTCCAGGCTGCATGCATTCTAGACGACTATGATCATTTATTGATCCACATGTTATACGGAAGAATTTTAACGCGATTTCCAAATTTTAGATGCTTGCCAATGTGTACGATGCAGTTCTCCTTACAAGCCCACACGGGCCATATTACAAGGACGAATTGGCTCTGAAAACCCCCAATGAATCTTCTCAGCCCACACAAAGATCTGAATATATGGTAATACTGATTTATTGAAATTTGTTATTACCGTTTATCCATTGTTTCTCTTCCTCTGTAAATTCTGGAAGTCTGGATTCAGAATACTTCTGGGCAATACTATTGCGTCTAACTATTTCCTTCATAATGGGTGGGTAGTCTCCGTTAACGTAAATGGGATGAGCGTACCAACCGAGAAATGTCTGTATGGAAGACTCGGAGGCTTCCCTGTGCTTCTCGTTGTATATATCTTGAGGCTGTGACCAGTCAATATTTAAGGTTATACCAATACGACCTGAAATTAAGTTAGAATTAAACCCGTTTTGCTTTTGACAGACTTTTCTTCATTAGTATAAGTCCAATAACAATGTTAAAAGGCGGCGGCGGGGGGGGGGGGGGGGGGTCGATGAATCCGTGCGTACTAGGTCATAGTCTGTTACTTGACGTGGTTTTGATCTTTGTATGTAACAAGGAGTGGGGTCCTCCCGTTTTCGCCCACTGTCCGAATCATTGAAATAAGCTAGTTTTTAATTGTGTTAAAATGAAGTTCGATCTGTTAAATAATAATAATAATGAGGTTTTATATAGCGTCTTCTCCATGTTGACAAATGCTCAAAACGCATTATCCAACCTCGTGGGTTTTCTCCGGGTCCTCCGGTTTCCTCCCACTGCTAAATTATTGAAATAAAATTAAAACATATGTTAGTCCCGAAATGACCTAGTTTGTGTGCGTGTGTGTGTGTGTGTGTGTGTGTCTCTCTCTCTCTCTCTCTCTCTCTCTCTCTCTCTCTCTCTCAAAATGCATTAACCTACATTCCCCTTACCTGTTCCATTATAAACGTCGTGGTACTGATGATAAGCCTCGGCATGAGCTTTTATAGCATTGTGAGTTGCCAAATATGGATTTTTTGCCATGTCAATAATACCAGGGGCAAACACCCCACTGCCGTAGCCCAATACCGTAAAAACCCACGGTTCATTCAATGTTAACCACATGGGCACCTGTAAATATAGCATTCAACACTGCATGTATTGCAAACCTTATCCTTAGAATGTGTTACTCAAACTAAGCAGGAGCCACGGTGGTTAAGTGGGTAAGATTCTGGAGGTGGCGTGTTCGATCCTGCATTGGCCGAGAAATGTCAGTGGTGCAGGGAGGAGGGCGTGATAGCTGTTTAGTCGCAGGGATGTGACGAATAACCGAAGTCCCGTGTATACATTGGCGTGCACGTAAGAGATCCATTGGCAGTTGCCATTCGATATAAGAGTAGACCATAGTGCCGCTGCCGGGCAAAATTTCCCTCATGTAAAACTCATTTACATTTATTAATAAAAAAATAATTTACACAATAATTTACACAAGCTAATTATAATTATGACAGAGCGTGTAATTCTACACAAAAAATCGTCCATATCTTCTTTTGCGCGTGTACTAAATAATGGAGGCGACGATAATATACTCTTCAAAAAAATAGGGGATATTGAAATGCAAATACCTATGCAGGTTGTGATATGATAAATAGTCATGGACACTTGACATGCTTTGAGAGTATGTTCACAGATGAAGAACTTATCGCTTCAACAGAACCACTGAGCTGCACATGCGACACGCAATAGCACCATACACGTGGGAGGGGTTCATTGTCAAATATGACACTTCAAGGAAGGGTTGAGGAAAACTGTCGCGTGCTGGTTTATCTATCCATGTCTGCTTTCCTATCGGTTCTTGCATAAAATTTACTGTTTAGCGTATCTTTGCTTTAGTGTGGTACGTTTAATTTGATCGGGAGATGTGTTCATGGACGGCAACGTCAACTGACAACACTGCAAGAATTGGCTGTGGCACTGCAAGAGGAGTGGGTCAGATTGCCCCAAATTGTGATTGGACGGTTGATTAGGAGCATGCCACGACGAATTTCCGAATGGCTGAGGATTGGTGGAGCAATTACTCATTATTAAGACAAAATTCAAAAACGCCCATTTTCACTTTGGCCGGTGTATCTCTTTGCGACTGAATGGGGCCGTCAGATAAGCCGCCCATATGAACTGTTTATGTTCATTTGTAGGCAAATTGACCCGTTATTAACATACACTGGTTACCTCTAATAAAAACAGCAGTGCATTTCCAAAGTTTTGTATTGTTTCTGAATATCTTTTTTTGAAGAGTATATATGTCAATTATCAAAACGCTTTGCTGGAAGCACCCGGAAACCCATATCTCGGAAAATGTAATGTTTTGGTAACAAATCAATTTTCCCAGTAGTTTTCCAACTGATGGCATGTGTTTAGAAACGCGAGTGCCAACGGGAGATATCTTAAATATTAAACAGGCGACATTACCATGAGGCAATGCATTTTTGGCTATCTAGCGTTACCAAAGCCTAAAACAATCAAGTGGAAAAGGTAAATATTGACCATGCACAACCAAAAGTGGTCTTATCAAAAAGCATATTGGTTAACAATATCAAAGTCGATCAATCCTACTGGAAGTTATGGTATTTATTTTTTTATAATGAATGGAGTCTGGTTGCATCAAACCTAAGTTGTATCCATTATCATGTAAAGAACACTTTTCAGTCATCATTTATGTTAAAGTTAAGTAGGGACACTGGTTTTTTAGCCGTTTGGCGGATCATGTTTTGCTTACCCTGTCACCAAACTCTTCAAAGCAGAGAGCAGCATACTCTTTAAACCAGTAAGCAATGGATTCATTCAACCATCCGCCATGATCTTCAAGGGCTTGCGGTAAATCCCAATGAAAGATGGTAACCACCGGTTTAATGTTGTGTCTTAAAAGCTCATTAATCAAATTATTGTAGTAGTCTATCCCTTTCTGGTTCCTAGTGGCCCGGGTTCCGTCACTCATAACACGAGCCCACGCTATGGAGAACCGGTATGCTTGGACCTGAAAATACCAATACATTTCAGAGTAAAAGACCCCTCACCTATTCCAGAAATCAGACCTGAAAAGTATTCGACGAATGTTTGGTTTGAGTATTGTAACATTAAACTTAATATCCTTATTGTTTAAAGTGAATTAGGATCATAGACGTTCTTAAATATTTCACAAAATTGGGAAACTTTAGAGAGGGACAATGTAAGAATATGCTTTGTCGATATGTGTCATCGAGTTACTTAAACGATAGGATATATGACATTCTAATTAATATATATATATATATATATATATATATATATATATATATATATATATATATATATACACGCGGTTACAGATACATATAATTCATAATGAATAGTTGTATAGTATATGAAAATCACTTGATTCAATGAGAACAATTAAGATACATCTCTTTGTTAGTCCAACGTGTATGTTTGTGGCTAATTGCACGAGAGAGCAGATTTTTCCAATTATGCTGAATTATTTCCCATGAGGGTAGACTTCGCAATCATTATTGCAGGCTTGTCATTAGTCCAAAACGTACAACAGGATGTTGCCCGAGTGCAAAATATTCTGGTATGCCCAATAAAAAAATCGTTTAAGCAATTAGAATAATTTTTAAAGCAATTCATTTCCACATAACCCATCCCTTCAAGAAACTAGACCCCCCCCCCCCCACACACACACACTTATTAATATTTGAATTTCTCTATTAATAAATTAATTTTATATGGAATTTAAGGTACCACACTAATTGCCTATAACTGTAATATATTTCATCTTAGTACCACTTATTCGATAATACTATTTTTATACAAAAAGAAAATAGTTTTCCTCGCTCCACTCAGCACAACTTAGATCGCTTAATCTTATGTGTCATTCTCACCAGTATTACATTTACCCATATGACACCCTACCCCCCCCCCCCCCCCAATACTATTTTCAAAGTAAAATTGGACCAGAAGATTAATATGCCAGTTGGTTCAAAACGCCAATATCAAAGTACCATGGGTGCTTGGAACTTTAAAACCCTTGGTCTACGATGATGAGATTTGGGATGTCAAAATGTTAAATCTTACCCCCAAATCGTCAATGATGGCAACATCGTCTTGGTATTTGTGGTAGCTGTCACAAGCTACTTGTGGGGTGGCATTTTCTTTACATCTACCAGCGTTAGCGAATGTATCCCAGATGCTAAGTCCTTTCCCTGAAAAGCACAGAAAAAAATGTTAGTTATATCACAGAAACATTCAAATGAGTGCATAGCATTTCATTGCTATTTTAATAAATGCATTTTAAAGTTTCCCCCAAAAAATAGAATTTTTTGCATCTTGGGTCTTGATTGGCAGGTTGGTCTGGATTCGACCAATCACAGTATGCACATTATCCGGCGTGAAATATCACGTAAGACCACGACGAAGTGGACTAAACAACCGAAAAATAAAATGCAACAAAATGCTGTCCCGCTTTTAATTAGACTGATACTTGTTCAAGGGCATATTTAGCTTTTATATGGTTGATATTAATTAAATACTATTGAACTGTTTTACCAAATTCTTCAGAAGAAGAGTTAAAGCGATGTCTTAATTGATTGGGTTTCTTTCATTTGTGGGGAAAATGATTATTGAAACAGTTGGTTTCATTTATTATACCACTTACCGTCAATGTTCCAGGCGCCTTCTATCTGAGCTGAAGACGTAGCAGTACTGAATATAAAATCTTTGGGGAAGGTGTCGTAATAAAATTGATCTGTATATTGTGGTGCAATCCCCCAACCTCCTGCCTGTGTAAATCCTGGATTAAATGCGTTTTCTTTCGTCAGAATTGAGAACCAGTGAGCTGAAGCTCTGGCGGTTCTGTTACGTGCCATGACCTCAAAATCAACTTTGTAGAAACCGTACTTATGTTTATAACCGGAACTTCCTTCAAAACCATCAAGCAGAAATCCACCGGAATAACCTTTCACATTACAGCCGTCCAAATTGATAGCTGTAGAAAAACACAAATGTTTTATATCAGAATTAATGCATTTACAAGAGGGTATATTACATTTACAAGAAGGTAAATTACATTTAAAAGAGGGTAAATTACATTTACAAGAGGGTAAATTACGTTATTTACTAATAAAACTTATACTCTTGTCTGTGTAACTCTTGGAAGCATTGCCGAATCAAGTCAGATTTCATTAGTCGGTCTGGACAATACGGAGATTTTAATAAATTTTCAGTGGATAGTTTAACAAAATATTCATTGCAAATTATACGGTGTTACTTGTATTTATTGAATGAGATAGATAATGATGTTATAGTCTTGATCTTTTAAAAAAAAAATATGAGTTGGCCAGTCTAACGCCGCCTCTGTTACGGTTGTGTTCAACTGGCATGAGCTGTCTTGTCCACTAACCAATTCGTGCTGTCTAGGGCAAGAACAGTTTTAGCCAATCAAAATGTCATTCATTTGTTTGACTGCAAAGAGGACAGTAAAAAACGAAATGAAGTCTTTATGTAGTAGAGGTCAATAAAGTAGTTCAATGCAGAATTATTTTTAATGGGATTTAAAGAGCCGGTCTACCTTTAAGAACACTGTTGATGTACGTTCTATAGTAATGCATTCTGTGTTCATCAATTAAAGAACCATTCGTATCAGGAAGACCATTTTCTGTGATATAAACTGCGGGATTGTTATACTGATACTTTATCCAGTTTAAAACTTTTCTCATGCCAAATGGGGTTACTTTGACCATACCGGAGCTGAAAGTCGAAGAGCATTAGGGTTTAATATGGATTTACTGAATTCCCAATTCTCGGGGATTGTCATAATACTCAAAATTTTCTTGCTTGATCAAGAAATAAAACTAAAAATAAATAACGACTGAACCATGCCAATAATTAGCCGAAATGTAAATTCAATCGCGCGCTGATTTTCTCTACTCAAGATATATATAACCAAAAGCAAATCATCCGTGATTGAGCGACAGTACACATTAATCCGGATGTTTTGATGCGAAGAATTCACACACACGCATGAGCAATCTTGTTAATCCTTACCTTATCCAAGTTGGATCATCTGATTTCTCTACATTTTGGTCGTTAAAAAAACTGACAGTGGCGTTATCAGGGGATATTTGAGAGCTAATCACAGTGGACGTATACATATTTACTCCGAGAAAATCATAACTGCCTGAAATTCAAGACAGTGTTATTAAATAATGATATAAGCATTTATTTTCTAATACACACGTTAATAATGCATTGTAAAGTAGAACAGAAACATTTGTAATTTAAATTTCAACTGGTTCCTGTCATTACATGGATTATACTAATTTCAACCAAATCGGCATTGATTCAGATGACGGTTGTCGTGCAATAGCAGGTATGCGTGCCCTTTCCAAATCATCCGACACCACCTAGCATCGCTCTTATTGTGACAAACCCGTGCAGTTAATGTGAAAAATTCTGAAATATTAACCAATCGTACTTTATTTATTAAAGCAAATTTTAACTTTACAGATTATTAAGGTCACAATAATTACTGCACCCATATACCTTTGATCATTTGAATTTCTGCGTCTGTGAATTCCGGCAATCGACTGTTAGACATGCCCGCAACTCGACTTTTCTGTGCCACTTGCTCGTATAGAACTGTTGGCCAATCACCAGTACCCAAAATGGGATTACCAAACCAGCCACTATTCATCTGAAGATATCGTTCTGCTGCTTCCACGTCCTTGTGATTATACGGATTCTTTGGTTCCGCCCATACAAAATGTAAGGCTATACCAACTTGTCCTGTAGCTTAAAAGGTAAAACAAAACAGTATTACCTTCAATTACACCGGATAATTAGAATCCAATATTGTCACGGTAAGAGAGAGGGTTTAACGTCCACTCGACACAAACTACGTTCCTTCTGAACTAACACATGGTTCAATTTTATTTCATCAAATCGCTTGCGCGTAGTGGTCTTTAAGCAGTGGGAGATGGGAGGGACCCGGAGAAAACCCACAAGGTTGGACAGGCGAGCCTATTTATTGTCACGTACCAGCGGGTTAATCGAAACCACTCCCTTTGACTTAATTACAGATCTTATGATGCAATGCGGCTGCGCTAACCATTCTGCCACCCCACCACTCGAGTAATAGATAAGAAGGGCATCAGTATATGTCATTACACCTGCGACCTACTGAAGGATTGTGTTTTCCGTAATCCCATGCGGGGGTGGCCGGATAGGTTTATTGTGTGTGCGTTGGATCGTAGGGTTTGTCATTGAGTCAAGTGGTGTGGTTTCGACAAGGCGTAGCCCCCCCCCCCCACTCTCTCTCTCTCTCTCTCTCTTGATTATCCAGTCTCTTTAGCCAAGTCAAGTAAGAGTTGCGCCCCGTCCCACAATAAATCCCATAATTCTTGCATTAATATAAACAAACATGAATCGTGACGACGAATTAGGATTAATTTTCAAAGCATAGATATGGCCCATGAAGAGAGAAATTTTACAATAAAAAATTAAGAGTGTTAGATATTGAACTCGCATGCAATCAAATGGATTTTTTGAAATGACATTCATAAATTAATTTCATGGGCGTAAACATCTTGTTTTAAAACGAGTTACCTGCCTTAGACATTGTTTATGACAATGTAATAGACCGGATTATCTAGCCAATTTTTCTCAAATGTTGACAACGCATCCAGACTAATATTCGTAGAATATTTTTCTGGATGATAATTTTCTGGATGATAGAGACTACTATTATTTGTGCAAATTGTGCACTTGTGCGTGACAAAGAAATGCGTCTTTTATATGTCCCTGAATATCTCTGATATAACTCGTTGGATACTAGTTTTATCATTACCATGGACTCAACTCTCACCAGCAAAAGAACAAATATGATTGACAATAGAACAAAATGTAATAAAATACATTGTAATGTTATCGTTTACTCATACCGTTCTGTTGATTCTTGTATACACTTTCATAACGTCGGTAAGCCTTGGCGTGGGCCAGTAGCAGGTTTTTAGATACTGTGTAAGGTGCTGTACCAAGATCCGTGTGATATGGCGGCTCGGTACCACTTCCGTAGCCAAGGACTGCTACTCCACGAGGATTATTAATTGTTATCCATTGTTTTACCTAAAAACATCAAGTGGTCCAATATATCAACTTATAAAAGGGTACGCAACAGATCTATTTTAGTGAATAAAAACTGTTAATTTATTTATGAAAGACGATATCTAGTTGTGTGTAATTATCTGCAACTGGATAGCTTTTATTGATATGCTCGAGTCTTAATAATTGAGTCTATTAAATTTTCGAAATATAAAAATTCAGTAACCGCGTTCATCTACGTTTGCGATCAATTACGAACAGCTCAATATTTTGAACAGAGAGAGAGAGAGAGAGAGAGAGAGAGAGAGAGGGTTTAACGTCCACTCGACACAAACTAGGTCATTTCGGGACTAACATATGGTTTAATTTTATTTACATAATTCGCTTGCGCATAGGGGTCTTTAGCAGTGGGAGGAAACCGGAGGCCCCGGAGAAAACCCACGAGGTTGGACAGGCGACCCTACTCCTTGCCACGTACAACCGGGGATTCGAAACCACGCCAGTCGATATTTTGAACAGACACTTTAGTATACAATACACAGTGACCATAATACTCAAATCACATAAACCATATTGTAACAACAGGTCTACTCGTAGTTATGATTATAGTTCATTTCATCAATAAAATACTGTAAACTTAGAATTTATTTTTATTCTAATGTTTTCTGGAATTTCAGAAAATATATAGCATAAACTCAATAGACATAAACAAAGGCAAAAATGTATTTACATTATTTGAATATAAGAAAACACCAAATTCGATCAAATTGAACCTTGCTGATATAGAAACCAGGCCCAAAATTCAAACAGGCATTGTAAATTGAACGTACCTGAGGCCCTAACTCTCTAAAACAAGTATCGGCATAATCAACAAACAAGTCTACCGTTGACTCGTTCATCCAACCACCTAAATCTTCCAGAGCTTGGGGTAAGTCCGATTGGTAAAGCGTCACAAATGGCTGAATTTCGTTGTCCAATAATTCCGTGACAAGGTTTCTATAGTATTCCATTCCTTTCTCATTAAATGAAGAAGAGGTTCCATCTGGGAAAATTCTTGACCATGCTATTGAAAACCGATACTGTTTAACCTGAAGTGATGAAATATATGACACAAATCTGCACTTATGACAAGTCAATTTTAGAGAGAGATCTACTTCTACGAGAATAGTTCTCTCCGTTATGACCCCCCAACCCCCAATGCCACACCCACATGATATATAAAATATTAAATAATTTTCAATGACGATCGGTGTGAATTTGAAATATTCCTACGGGACTGGTGATTTCTAACTATGTTTGTGATTTGTGAATCCTCTGTGATATGATTATCATGTGGACTACCAAATGTCCCACCGATGTCATGCAATATCATATTTACCCCAATTTTTTTTATGAGTTGAACATCCTGTTTATATTGATGATACTGGTCACTACTGATGTCTCCTGTTTGTCCATTCTTTATTTTACCCATACGACTAGCAGTATCTAATATGCTTATACCTTTACCTAAAAAAAAAAAGATATTAGATTTTAGAGATTGTTCTAATAGATAGAGCGAAGTTATACGTGTAAAATTGACACTACAGTTTCGCCAACCATTTTTGAAAATAATGAGAAAATATCTGGTATTAACTAGACTATACATATGCACTTCCTTTACACTACGCTGGGTTATACTACACGAAAGAGTTAGCAAAGATATTGCGATTATCCAGGAGTTTATAACAGATATGTCAAAAGAGGTTGTCCAAATATTTTTTAAAACAAAGGTCTTAATGGTGGGCTATGACAAATACATGTCTGTTCTCAATACAATATCAAATATTCCGATAGGAAAAAAACCTCGAGGTCCTGTGTACAGGTTTGAGAGGGCGTGATGGAACCATTGCCAGTTGGAATTCGAAATAAGATTAGATCTAATTCTCTCATATCACACTGTGTGGCGTATGCCAGTCTTAATTACATTTTGTAGCTCTGACGGAAAAGAACAGAAGGACGTTAAACCCCAGTCAAAGCAAGGCTATAATAGACTCGGTTGTCAGGTGTGGCTAAGACAGCGTTCATTGAGTTAGTTTAGAATTGTTGTAGAGCCTAGTTTGAATTTGTCCTTTTTAATTTATATGAACTTACTTCGTAGCTATGAGGGTCTTAATCTACACTTTTAGTTAGTATTTGTTTATAATTAGATAATGCCAGTTTTATTGGCATTCTGTCACGTTCTCCTTGGAGTCGGATAAATTAGAAATCTTAATCAGTAGCGTTGCTAAGCATTTGGACGGTCCGTTTTGAATTTCCAAATTTTCCGCCCAGTATAACGAGTTATAATTTGATTTGATCGTTGTACCTTTGATTCTTATTCTGTTTATAAATCAAAATATTTGGATAGTGCAGTTTAGTGGAATATATGTAAATACTTTTATCATTCTAAGTTTGAATATTAAAATTAACGGCACCCCTTTTACTCCCTCACCACTAGGACAAGGGTTTATATATAGTTGTATCAAAATACCAACCGTCTTCACTTGACGCCCCTTCTACTTGATAAGCCGAACTTCCAACTCCCCACACGAAGTCATTCGGGAATTTTCCAAAATATATTTTGAATTGATCGGAGTATGGCACAACACCCGATTCCATTCCACCTGGACCTGGATACCCCTTGTGGAAACCATTGTCTTTGATTATTCGTGAATAATATCTCGCTGATGCTTTCTGGGTTCTGGCTCTGTCTGTGTCGGTAAAATCTACGTGGTGTAGGCCGTATTTGACACTAAAGCCGTGAACCCATTCGAAACTGTCCATTAGAGCTGCGGCAAAGTAACCCTCGACTTGGCAGCTGTCTTCAGTTATAGCTGTTGGGAAGAACGATTGAAATTATTTCAAAATTTGAGGAAAATGGTTTATAATTATAATGGTTGATGCAAAATAAATTTTAAAATAAAATAAAATAAAATAAAATAAAATAAAATAAAATAAAATAAAATAAAATAATAATAAAATAAAATAAAATAATAAAATAAAATAATAAAATAAAATAAAAAAAAAAAAAAATAAAAAATAAAAAAAAATAAAATAAAATAAATAAATAAAAAAAAAAATAAAAAAAATAAAATGTATATGACATTTATGTGACATTAAATTGTTTAAATTAATTAATATATTGACGATATATAAGTGTACCTTTCAGGACTTGATCTAAGTGATGTTTCATATAGTATACTCTGTGTTTATCTTCAAGTGTTCCGGTCATATCACCAAAACCAGCGTCTTTAACGTAGACTGATAAGCCACTGTACTGGTTCTTTATCCAGTTCAAAGCCTTTCGTAAGCCAGTCGGTGATGGGTGACTGAAAGAAGATAGACTATTATATAAAAGCAATTAACATAGAACATTTTTTATGTGACGGTTACGATGGCAACATGGGTATCTTGACACTATCTAATTAACAATTTCAATTTTAATCTTCTAAATAACACCTTTCTGAGTGTGTTTTTTAAATGAAATTGTCACGTTGATCGTTAAAATGTTTGCTATTTTTAAAATCCAACCGAAATCTTTTCAGAGGATCTCAGAAATCCAAGAACAAATTAAGTTCAGTCTTGTCCAACTTTTACATGTATAAATACAAATCTAAAGCACGGATTTGTTAAATATATAAATTCCTAGGACTATTTAGCCAATAATGCAGAGGTTTAAATACAAAAAAAAGTAGCAAAAAAAAAAAAAACCACACAGCGGTTCCACTGTTGGGACTGAAAACGGGAAACTGAGAAGGGATGTGTATCCAGTACGGATGGGAACAAAATCAGAGGTCCCATGTACACATTGGTAATCCACGTAAGAGAACAGTTGATCCTGGGTATTCGAATCATTCCCCTTCGTTGGACACGTGACCATGGCAATTTAAATCAGTGTATGTATGTTACTCTGAAAATGATCTAAGTAAACTGTCGACGGGATGTTAAACACCATGATTTTTTTTCAAGAAGAGAGATCAGCAAATCCTAACCTTACAACCACCACCTAACAATGGCGGACAAAAGGAATAAAAATCAAATCAGTGACATTTAGCGCCATTATACATACCCCATCCAAGACATGTCTGGTTTTGCTAATACATCACAATCACACATATAAGACGGTGGGTCACAATGGTTAACCTTAACTGTTACCATTTTAGAGGTACCATACCGAAGTTCAAGAAAATCGATGGTATCTGTGAATCAGAAGAAAACAATCATTGACTCTGGACTCCTATGAAATATATAAAAGAACTTCGACGGCTCGAGTCCTCCTCTCATGAAAGTTTTGTTGAAATTTGTAATACTCGCTAAGCCTAAAATAGAATTCTCGAAAGGCATCTTTCAAAGTGGGTTAAAAGGAAATATCGAAACTTTTTGAACTGTATACTTGATGGGGACGCTAAATATAATTTATTCGAGCAATCATCGGGCTATGGCCCTTGCTAATCTTGGTATTGGGCTTACATTTGGGCAATAGTATGTCAGTATTGATCAGCTACCAAACGATGTGGTTTTTTTTTATTAAATAAAGGGAAGAACTTCCCACTAAACCATTCCATGGCCTAAGGCCGTAAATGGAAAGATTTCATTCCAATATTTCAATATACAGGAAGAAGCTTCGACTCTCCTAGTTCTTGTCTGCGATATCACTTTAATGGAGGCAGACGTTAAAGAATCGAGATAGTAGTAGTGTCAGTACAAAATGTATATCTTTGTGAATGAGCCTTTGGTGTATTTTTACTCTGTTAAAAACGGTATTTGAATTTAATGGCGACCAAGGTTGGTAATAAAAGAGCTAAATATACCTCGGTTATCACGTATTTCATCTGCAGTGAACTCTGGTAGTCTGGAAGGATTGTCGGGAGTTATTTCCTGTCTTTTGCTGTTGATTAAGGTTTTCATAATATCAGGATAATCTCCATTTACAAAAGGATTAAGAAACCAGCCAAGTTGAAACTGCATTGCCCTCTCTTTGGCATCCATATCGATTTCACTCAAAGAGTCCATAGGTTCAAACCAATAAGATCTAAGTGCGATCCCAATATTCCCTGTAAATAAGTTTAAAACAGATCAGTTATGAACGAACAGTGAATGGGATAGAGACTTTATTATCACTAATCGAATGGTATCAATGTCGCTGTTTACCTTCTATTTTATTTACAGAAGAAGTAACATATCATGCTTATAGTCAGTAAAAAGAATGCTTACAGTATCAATGTCATTGCAACATTATAGTCAGTAAAAAGCATGCGTACAATACAGTCAGTAAAGAAGTGTGTCTCTGTGTGTGTGTGTGTGTGTGTGTGTGAGAGAGAGAGAGAGAGAGAGAGAGAGAGAGAGAGATGATTCAACGTCTACTCGACACAAACTAGGTCAAATGGGTCTTTAGCAGTGGGAAGAAAACCGAAGGACCCAGAGAAAACCCACGAGGTTGGACAGGCGATCCAACTACTTGCCACGTAAAACCGGGGAATCGAAACCACGCCAGTTGACTCAGTGATATACCTTATGATACAGAGCGCAGGCGCTAAACATTCGCCCCCCCCCCCAGGAAAGAAGTAAAATATCTCAATCGTTAACACATTCTATACCAAGGCAAATGTTTAAAATAATGAATGAATGGAATGGGGTTTAACGTCCTAGTTTTCTGCACCAACCGGGCCATTGAAGAAGGGCATACGCCAAGGCAGCAATTGCATTCCAGCTGTCAAGGGTTCTTTTAGTTATGTACACCCCAATGTGTACACGGGTCCTCGGGTTTCTTGCCATCCGAAAGGCTAGACACTGTTCCTTGGCATGTACCCCGCCCTGTACGACTTACAAGGTGAAATCGTGCTCGACAATCCCTGGATCGAACCCGGAACACCTCGTTAGTGCACCAGAGCCTTATCCACTGAACCAACGTGACTCCTTTATACCAATAATAAACAGGAGGGGGTTATTGAAAGGTTGTTTATCAGAGACAATGAACAGGAATACGGAAACTGGAAAAATCGAATCATTACACACACTAACCATAGTTGACAAATCGGTGCATACTGGCAATGACAATTCCCTAAGCAACGATTTTGTTATCTTTATTAGCATAATCTATCAAGGCCGTTGGGGTTGCGTGGACTTTTTACTAGAGTACCCTGGCGTAGACGTAGACTAAGAAAGAATCTTCTGGGGGTTTTTTTCAAGCCGATTCCCATTTGGCAGGGCTAAATGGGAATACGTTACGTCAATACGTTACGTCAATGTGGTTTTAGAGTTTTGGCAGAATTTCGCGTCGCGTACGTATGCATCACTGAGCTGAGCTTAGTTCTATTACAGCATGATGGCAGATATCTACCAAGATCACCATCAGTACTAATCAAGTACCTAGCCTACAATTTCTCGACAGTCGCTAAGTTATTATTTAATGTCGAATCTTATTAAAAAAATCTTCGATTTCAACTTGACAGCAATTTTTGGTTTCACTAATGTATCATTTCAGAAAATTTATACCCCTTTACTATAGAATAAAATCATTTACAGATTACAAAGTCCAACCCCCCTAAATTTAGCATGTAGATCAACCAGCATGCAAACAGGCAGGCAGGAGAAGTATAAAAATAATGATTAAATTCCAATCTTTATCATGGTTAAATCAAATCAAATATAGGTCTTCGTGTTCTAGGATTCATAAAAACGCTACGATACAATTCAGTGTCTAAAAGTAGCACAAAAGACGGCGAAAAGACGACAATGTTATACGAACCTTTTCCGTATGAAAGTTGTTCGATACGTGCTGCCGTATCCGTGTGCCGTATTTCGTATGAGACATACACACACATTGATGACGTCACGCACAAAATCCATACGGATACGCGATACGGACCAGGAATTTACGCTTGCCAAAAGTATCTTATAAAGACAATTCTATCGTAACGCATTGCACGACAGTGGGAACCTAGCATTAGCACTTGACATTGGCATTGTGTATCGTAGCGTAGTAGTAAAATAAAATAAAACCAAGTACGAACAATCCAAACCATTAGACAAAATTAGAAGTCCTAAAAAAGGGGGTATAGGCGAAATAGTGTAGGCTACACTACCATTGGAGGATGTTGATAAAATTAAGCGTAAATAATATTCACAAAATAAGAAATATTTTACCTGCTTGGTAACTAAAGGCTCTGTTATAAGTTCTGTACGTGGCTATGTGAGCTTTTATCATATTGTGAGCAGCTGTGTAGGTGTATGTTCCTGGTCCCCACAACCCAGGAGCAATCGAACGATTACCGTATCCATTAACTGCTTCATTCCACGGATCATTTAGAGTCACCCAATGTTTAACCTAAAGTTTAAACAAAATTGAGTGTATTGTTCGGTACATTTTCCGAAATTTTTTCACATCACGTCGGAACCCCGGGCATAAATTCTGCATTAAACATGGAATTCTACATGGCGATATTGACCCGGACATACATTCTACGTGTGCATTAACCTGGGACATATAGTCGACGTGATGGAGTAAAACTGTGGCATAATTTCTACATGCGTGTATTAACACGTGACATAGATTCTACGTCAGCATTAGCCTGAAGCATAAATTCTACGTGACTGCATAAACCCAAATCATAAACTATATGACTGAATTATCCTGAAGCATAAAGTCTACGTGACTGAATTAACAGTGGATTTGTTGGGTGGTCTCGTGTGCTTGTTGATTAAGCGCTTGGACCATGTTCACATTGAATAAGTGTTTCTAAGGATATGTCATGGTCGGAATAAAGATAAAAACAGGCAAATGTCTAATTCCGATAGTATTATTGTAGCATTGAACGATCACAACGTTATGGAATTGAAATGGCAATGGAAAATAGCACGCATATACACAGCTGCATGCTCTGACATAGAATCATTGAATAGATTTCTTTAAAAAAAATAGTAGGAATTTTTCTTTATACTTTGGTACGATTTTTGTGGTGGTTATATTTATTCAGGTTTGCTCAAATGAAATTCCCTAAACCCATATAGGCACCGCAGCGACCAGTTTATTCATATTTATTGAGTTCCAGGCCCTGCTGATCTCTGACAGGAACCGACAAAATCATTTATTTTGTCATTAACGCCCAAAGTACATGTATTGCAAAACCTGACCAAAAAAGAAAGATATGTAACAGATATGCACGTGTTACAAACCATGCCGATGAATAAATTATGGATTTTTAGTAAAAGTTGGTATGTACAAATAAGGGTAGGACAGATTCAGACAAATCAGATTTGAAAATCTAACTTTTGTAAAACATTGATTTTAAACTGGCGTTTTTTAATTGAACTCGAAATAAGCAGCCTGAACTCGAAAAAAGCAGCCCGCAATGCTTTAGAATACAATTCTACTCATTGGTATTGAGCTCCGTATCATTTCGACTAGCCCCCCCCCCCCCCCGTTTAAATCAAGCAGTAACAGTAATCTAGCTGTACGTATCCTTTGTATGGGATATTCACGATTTATGCGATATTATTATGTTTTAATACTTTACTTACGTCATTTCCAAATTCTGCGAAGCACTTTCGAGCATATTCGACAAAGTGGTCATTTGTATCATCATTCAACCATCCACCTCGAAGCTGTAACGGTTCTGGTAAATCGTTATCGTATAAAGTCACAATGGGCGTTATGTTATATTTTTTTAATTCACTAATCAAGTTTTGGTAATAGTTGATACCTTCAGTATTGAAAGGGTACGATCCAGTTGGCATAATCCTGGACCAGGAAATAGAAAACCTGTACGAATTCGCCTACAAAAGAGAAAAAAGACACATGTTTTAGATACAATTTTTGAAACAGGTTTTTAATTAGATCGACATAGTTGTCTTTGTATTAAGATATTTCGTTTATGGTGTGGAGTTCCGATGTTCTGAAAAACTAGGTTAGTTTGGGACCAACTTATGGTACATCTCCATTTTTCTTTGTTGAATCTTTAGAACATTGAGGAAAAAGTCTCCATTTTTCTTTGTTGAATCTTTAGAACATTGAGGAAAAAGTACAGCGACCCGGAGAAACCGCATAGGGTTAGGCAGACGAGCCTTCACCTTGCACATACACGCCTGGGGTCGAAATCGTACACTCGACTCCGTGACAGACCCTTGGATTTATTATAGTGCGCGCTATAACTTCTAGAATTTGGTAATCTTTAAAATAAATATACCGCTCTTCATTATTGAATATTCGTTCATTTCATTGAAAAAAAATAAAAAAATAAGGCGTTTCATCAAATGATGAAATCTTTCCTAAGCTCTGCAGGAGCCACGATGGCTAAGTGGGTAAGATGCTTGATCGCTAGCCTGGCAGTCTAGGGTTTGCTCCCGGTGTTGGTATAGAAAGTTCATCGCGATTTTCCGGCGTGGTTTCCCCCTTGTCAGTAGTGCAGGAGAGCTGTTCAGTCGTTTGGATGGGACGAAAAACCGTAAAAGAACCAATGACAGAATTTGATATAAGAGTATGTCATAGTGCCGCTGCCGGGCAAAATTTCCCCCATAGCACAGTGTATGGCGTATGCCTGTCTTCATGAGCCCAGTCGGAGCAGAACAGTAGGACGTTAAACACCATTTCATTTCATTTCTTTTCTAAGCTCTGTATATATTATATTATCGCGTTGTTATCAATGGAGCCAGGAAAATATTTTTATAAATGTTACCCCAATATTTCTGAGCAACTGAACATCTTCTTTGTATTTATGATAACTGTCACACGTCATGTCGCCTGTTGATCCGTCTTGAATATTTCCTGGTTCTTGTACGTATACATCCCATATACTGGAACCTTTACCTACAATAAAATGATTTCATTACTCTAGTCTGGGCAACATATATTATATTCAAATTCTAGTTGTACTCTAAAACTGAAAATCAAAGAATGTTTATTTATAAATATACAACATTGCAAGGTTAAAAATATAAGACCACCAGTAGCTTGGTGAAGGAAAGCAAATAAAAAAAAGTCATATTATGATGTGATACTGACGTTCTCAATACCCCAGGTAGTAGACATTAATAATTTCGATCTATTTTACAAATGTTTGACATGACAGCGGCCTAATCTTCATTGGTATTCCACTGGTTATTGAGAGAGAGAGAGAGAGAGAGAGGAGAGAAAGATAGAGAAAGAGAGCTGGGTTTAATGTGCATTCGACACAAACTAGGTCATTTCGGGACTAACAAATGGTTCAAATTTATTTCAATAATGTACTTGCGCGTAGGTGTCTTTAGCAGTGAGAGCAAACCGGAGGACCCGGGGAAAACCCCCGAGGTTGGGCAGGCGACCCTACTCCTTGTCACGTATAACCGGAGAATCGAAACCACGACATTTGACTCAATGACAGACCTTATGATACAGCGCAAACGTGCTAACCATTCGGCCATTCAATCCCCCAGAGAGAGAAAGAGAGAGAGAGAGAGAGAAAGAGAGAGACTTGGTCATTTCGAGACTAACAAATGATTCCATTTTATTTCAATAATTCGCTTGCGCGTAGGGGCCTTTAGCAGCGGAGGAAACCGGAGAACTCGTTGAAAACCCACGACCATACTCCTTATCACGTACAAGTGGGGAATCTAAACCACGCCACTAGACTCAATGACAGACCTTATGATGCAACGCACACGCATTAACCATTCGCCCTCCCCTATTAGTGAGCCAGTACAATATTCATTGAGTTACAGTGGCCCTCGAATTGCAGTTCGCATGATACGGCTATTAAATGTCATATTTAACAATACACCATAGGCATAGATACAAACGTGTATTGGATATGTAAACTTAATAAATAAAAAGTGGTATCGGATGTTCTATCAGTTGTATGCATGCAATGTGTGGTGCACTACATCGATCACTACTATTAGCTTAACTGACGCAAGTGTATGGACTGTATTTCAGAATACAAAAGCCTCTAGCTAGAAGATAATCTAGTGAACAGGGTCACCTGCACAGTAACCCACCCAGAGATTTAAATACAATAATACTTCCAGTGTTCGAGATCTTAGTCATTACTGAGTGTTTGTACCTGGTCTGTGATCTCTATTATTACACGTTAATACAATGACCCTCCATCCGGAATCAGACAACCCGAATCAGAATGATGTAGTCTGACGGTAACACCTACCATTACAACTATAAACCAAATTACTGTTTAAACAGCATACAAATGAAATACAAAAGTTTTTTTTTTATCTGAGCTACGTTTCTACAATGATTCTCTTATCTTTTTCAAGAACAACACAATACAAGACAATCATTGCAGAGATGTAGCTCTGATTAAGAACTCTCGTGTTTAATATAAACCAAAACATATGCGCATTTATACCCTTCGAAATGGTTTATAAAAAAATCCTTACCGTCTGTCATAGAGGCCCCCTCTACTTTATAAGCCGACGAAGATGCTCCCCATTTAAAATCCACGGGGAATGTTCCAAAAAGGAAAGGGTCATTTTCATTTTCAGCTGCACATTTCCGAAACAATAAGAAACACACAACAAAGTTTATGAACCTTTTCATTTTGAAGCTATCTCTGTGAATGTGAGTCTTTCGTAAAACTCAACGACACCTTTGTGAGAATTACTTCGAGAGAATAAGCCAGCGAAAACAGATCCACGGCTTTACTCACAAAGGCAAACATGCTACGAAATTAAATAGGTTCATGTTACGAATGACTAAGGTCATCTTAACAAATGTAAATTTGCCCAATTATAAACATATCACCGATACAAAAACAAAAAAAAAAAAAATAAAAAAAAAGAAGACTGTAAACATTAAAGATCTATTTTTTGGACAGTCGCGATTTTAAATATAACCGCCGATTGGAAAACATGCACAAGAAAAATATTTATTATCGAGACACATCCTGGAAAACAAACTTTAACGTAGCCACCATTTTGTATCAATCTAAACTGCCATGGCGATAAATGGTAGTTGTACAATTACGCCAGGCTTAATGATCGACGTTCTGTAATAATATTTGGCCAATTCAAGTCAATAGTTTGATTTTTTTTATGTCATTACAAAACATCAGACTTTCGTATAAAAAATTATTTAATGGACCATATAAATGGCCTAATTTACCACGAGTAAATACAACTTTAAACAATTCATCTTAAATAATAGTTCAAAAATAGATTACTTTATTCTGAGCAAAGTTATGACTGTTTGAAGATGTTACGTAGATTGTTATTATTATAGTAGCATCGTAAAATCCATTGATTCTCAGCCATCCGATGATCTTGCGAGTTGATTATAGGTTTTCGATTTGAATAGATTTCTAAATAATAGTTTATATAACATTTGAAGTGAAAATAAAGACATGCAATAGGCAGATATAACTCTTACATATTGCATCTTTAATCCTGACTGGGTCCAATTGTAAACAGTGAAGTTAAAGTAGCTAACTCAATATCATTCACAGTCTTCGACATTCAAATACGACTTATTGGTCAATTTCAATCAACACTGATGTTGTTATCTTAGCGTGAAAAGATGGACTTCTGGCATCCAATATTTAAGACACGAATCGCGTGCCAGAATGCTTTCGAGCACCATTTGTAATGAAGTGACTGGATGAACAGGCTAAATATATCCTACAAGGGAAGACTACCGGAGTGGACCGGAATAACCAGACGCCAAAGACTTTCGTTCAATTTGCACTCTTCGCAGCTGATTAGAAATTACAGTAAAAACAGAAACGATTGAATATAAATGAGTTTATATACATTCATATTACATTATTATATGCGTTTCGACCCATTCCTAAAGAATGGCGATTTAGCTCCTTTAAGTGTATATTTACATCAATACTCAACTTCTAATTTATTATTTTATATGTCAAAGAGGAAGTAAACGCGAAGATACCAACTTCTAATTTATTATTTTATAAGTAAACGCGAAGGTAAATAAAACAGCTGCTGAAATATTTAAACTTTTATAATCAAAAATAAAATATAGTATGTACATACATGTATATATGTAGCCTATCGTCGATCATAGTAATTGTCAATCAAGTTCAAAGTACATAATACAAACTAGTAGAATTTTTGCTCGAGAAATAACATATTCGCATAATATGTGATATGTACTTAAAATACTTAAATCAACTTAGGGTTTGAATGACATATTGTGATATAAAAACACTTGTAGAGCCATAACATAACTGGTTCTATGTCAGCAACATGTTAACAGATATCTCATGAGAATATTCTTCAGTAAAATTCCATTCCAACATATAAGGGTGGGTTGTCGACGTCATTGGGCTCAATTAACCAATCTCTATAATTATTTACATCATATTTGACCAATTGGATAATTGAATGTCCAAAACCAGTAGATACAAAATTAGGATACTGGTGAGAATTCGCCAGACTTCTATTAGGTTCCAGAGGGCTTACATCTGAGATCCTAGACAGCCGCGAGGCTGGCTAGGGTAGAGAAATGGTTTTAGCTAGTATTGTTATCGATTATGCTTGTATACCTGTATTCAGCTATATATATATATAAAATATGTAGAAGCAAACTGTCGCATTGTTATTCCTGGTAAGACAGACGTCTTAAGAAACTGTAAGAAGTAAATACACAACGTGAAGCAGAAGTAAAGACAGCTAGAGACAAATTCTAGACGATCACAAGGCTACAGAAATATGTAGTAAGAAAAGATGCATGGGTCGTACGTAAGATGTGGCGACCGGTTTTAGTACTGTGTCCGCTCTCCACGTCAGACAAAGGACATATGGTGCTACACAGAATAACTGGCGTTCCTACGGCAAAGTGGTATTAAGTGTTTTGAGAAGACCAAGCACACCATGCCTTGTGTTTCCAAAATCCTGTTTTTAAATGGTTACACTAAACGATGACATTAAAGAGCCATGAAAGCGCTTTAGAGATCTTAGAGAGAGTTTAACGTCGACTCGACACAAACTAGGTC